GGGTGTGTTTATGGAGTGTGTGTGTGTGTGGGGGGGGGGGTTGTGAGATGCAGTGGATGTGAGAGTGGGATAAGGGGCCACCTCAGTTTGGTGTGGGAGCCAGATATCCAGGGTCTCCCCTCCAGAGAAGCTAGGGATAACCAGTATCTAGGCAACCATGTTGGGGGGAGGGGAGGAGATATGGAGGTGAGGAATGGGCAGGAAAAAGAGGGAGGCTGAGAATGGAGAGTTTCCATGGCAACCCCAAGGCAGGTCACGTGCAAAAGGCTAAGTTGCGGAAACAGATACACACATCCACAATATGAAGGCGGCTGGACCCCCAGAGTGGGGATCCTTTTATAGAGGGCCTGGATTGTCCACTGATCCATCTTCAGGGCTGGAAATCCCAGCCCAGCCAAAGAGGATGAAGCCAAGGGGACAAAGGGAGTGGAGCCAGAGGCCACACTGGAGGGGAGAAGCCTCCAGCAGCCAGGCCGAGCATGGAGGTCGCTGGGCAGTGGGCGGCCTGGGCAGGCCCATGTTTCCAGCGAGGGTGCTCGCTGCTCCCACCCTCGGGTGCCTTCTCCACCAGCCACCACTTGTAAGAGCCGGAAGCAAGCGCTGGGAGACCCCGGCTGCCCATCAACTCTCCGCGGAAGCCCAGGGAGACACAATGGGGGAGGTTCTGCCAGGGCCAGCCCTGCTGGGGAAGGGAGAAGAGGGGGACCAGAGCCCCTTGGAAAGAAACCAGGATTGGACAGACACGAAGGAGGGAAAAGGGAGTGGAGACGTGCTCGCGAGTCCTCCAGGCTGGGCGCCCTCCTTTCCCTGGTCCCCATCCTGTTGCCCGCTGCCCGGCCCCACCTTCCCCCGGCCCCGAACCTGCGAGTTCCATTTTGTATGGCTCGTTGGGTCCACACTCGCACCCAGCCACACTCCCTCGTCCACACATCCTCGCGCTCATGCAAGTGTCCACCGTTTCCAAGTAACAAAGGGGAAAGTCCCCCGAATAAAGGTTGGGCGCACCCTCCTTTCCCTTCTCGGAAAACCCTAGCCCTAAGCTCGAGGCTCGGGAGCGATTCCCAGCCCCCACCGCACCGCCATAGCCTGACCCGCGCCGAGAGCCCTCTCCCTCCGACGCCCACCGCCTTGTTTACTTCCAGCCGCTGTTCGCTGCCCGCGCGGGCGCCGAGGCGCGGCAGCCCCGGAGGTCCGCACACACCCACCGAATCAGCACAGCCCGCGCTGCCAGCGCTCCGGGGATCGGTCCCCACTCGGGCCTCGACTGTCCTCATAAAAGGGGGCCAGCTCTGCCACCTCCCCAGCCGCTTACCTGCACGGCGGGTCCCCTCCGAGACGATCCCCGAGGACGTGCTGAGTCCCGAGGAGCCTGGGAGTGGCGGGGCTGGGGGCAGGGCGGTGGGAGAGGCTTGAGCTGTTTCCCGCCTCCCTTCCTCGGAAGAGTCGGGGCGGGCTGGGAGGCGCGTCCTGCGGGCTGGGGGGCGAGGGGCGGGGGCTCGCTCCCGCCTGGGCTCCAGGGGACAGCCGCCTCAGTGGCTGTCGGCCGGTGGCTTCTGGGTAGTGTCCACGCGCAGACCCCTCTCCTCTGCCTCCCCGCCCTCCCGCTCCGTGCTCGCGAGCCCTCCTCTCCTCCCCTCTCCTCTCCTTTCTCCCCTCTCCTCTTCTCTAGGCTGCAAAGAGATTTTTCCAAAGGGCAGTGGAGCTCCTAGAAGCAACAGGAGACGGCCGAGGGGGCGTGCAAGCGCCAAGCGGATTTGCCATCAGCTGTTGCTTTTTGGTTTCCCTCTGGTAAGGGTGGGAAGGGAGCGAGACAGACTCAGTGACGGAGCTAATGTCTCTCTGAAATAGTAAACTCAGGGGAACGGGAAAATAAGAGAAAACAGAAAATAACCCAGCACCAGACACAGCAACCCACGTTAATTAAGAGCCTTGGCAATTAAAGGGAATGTGTACAAAGGCATGAATGGCTGTGCCGTGGCTCTGGTTGTAGTTGTCATTTTCAGCCAGAGCCAGAGCCAGGTGGGGTGCTGAGTGGACAGCCTTCAGCTGAACCACTGATGTGCTTTCCAGAACCTCCTTTAAAGCCTCCCTTAAACGCTGGCCCTGCCAAGTGCCACCCCACCCAGTCCCCAAGAATCAGAATTCCAGATGACAGACTTTGAACTTGAAGACTTAAATCCTAGCTCTGCAACCCTATCTGTGCCATGACCTTGAGTGTCTCTGGCACTATCCTCTCAAGTCTCCGTTTCCTCACATGGGAAAATGGTGAATTGCAGAATACCCACCCCATGGGAGGCTTAGCTCATAGTGAATATTCTACAAACTGGCTCTTGCTATGAGGAGCAGAGTTTGTAGGAAAGGGCAGAGGCCAGGTAACAGTGGAAGTCACAGAAACACAAGGGCCTGGCATGTGGTCAGTACCCAGAAGCCAAGCTTTGATGGGTGGTGTCCAGCCTCAGACAAGGTATGTGTTGGTGGGGAGGGGGCTGCCTACTGAGAGAGGCTGTGATTGTCCAAGCCTGGGTAGGGCCACGGAGACTACCTTACAAATCCCAAGCCTGGGATGATGGGTACTGCTAGGAAGAGACCCTGCCGCATCCCTAACAGCCCCTGCTCTGGGCATCTGTTTCCTCATTTGTAAAATGGGGCAGATGGACTAGATAATCCTGAGGGCCCTTCCACCTCTGACCCTAGATGATTGAATTACTGAATAAATGGAGGGGTTTCAAAACCCCAAGGCAGGAAATATGCATAAATTCAAGAACGTTGTGGAACCAGTAGAGAAACCACAAATGGCCACAGAGAAAGAATAGCCAGAGAATAGCCCCTAAGGAAGACAGGAGGAGAGCTCTGGCCTCTTGAGCCTGGAATTCTGGGCTGAATGGATGTCACTCTGGCACAGCCCCCAAGTCCCTTTGGTTCCTATTAAAGCTAAAGCTCTGTCATCAAAGCCTGGCTCAAAGCTTGCCCCTTCGAGTGCTTGACCTTTCTGTTCTGGCCTTTTCTTTGTTACAATGGTCCTTTTCCCTTCTCTTTTACTCTAGGTGGGAGATGTAAAAGCACACCACTTTCTAGGCTCATGTCCTTAGGCAAGTAGATTTAGCCCTCCAGATGCCCTTGAATCCTGCTTTTGGGCCACCTCTCTGCGTTCCTTTTGGGAACACTTAGTAGTGATGAAATGGCAGTCTTAGGCTTTGTAAACCTGTTTGAGAAAGGAAAGGCCAGTGGGTCAAAACTCCAAATCTGAACACCTATTGGTTCGTTCAATCCCCTTCTGCCAGATAATTCCAAAGTATTTGGACAAGTTACTTTCCAGACTTCCTGCCTGGTGCTGATCAGCTAAGGCTGGAGAAATATAACAGGAGCTAAATCTGCGTGAAGAGTCCCATGGCTTGACTCTGGAATAGCACTGCTTTGCGTCCCCTCCAGGAGTATTGCTGGAGGAATTTGGGACGCTACAGGTACAAAGTGACATACAAGCCTGTCCTAACGGGAGTCACATCTCCCTTCTACGGGGAGAAGAAACACATCTACGCCCTGTGAAAAATGTGGGATGGCTAAAAGGAGGTCACCAGCTGCTCCGTTCTTTCAACACATTTATGGATGGGAGGAGCTACTACTCTTTACTGAGCCCTGGGCCAAGATCTGGGGATATAGCTAAAAAGGAAACACATGGTCCCTTATAACTAATGGGCAGGATAGATATTTATCAAATGTCCCCATGAATAAGTATGTAATTAAAGCATGGTTCAGAGCCCTGTGGATGGAGCACTTAAGAAGGGAGCTGAAGAGTGAAGAGGTATTAGGAGGATAAAGTGAAGAAGCAAGGAATTGGGATGTGAGGGGTGAGAAATGATCCTGACACTGGAACAGGAGCAGCATGAGCAAAGGCCCTGAGGCAGGAGGATCATGGTGTGAAAGAAGCCATTGCAAGGACTTGAGCAAAGGGGACTGGAGAGAGAAGCAGGTGCCAGGCCGGGGCGGAAGGGGTCCTGGCACTTTGTAGGTGATTCCAGCTTTTATTCTTGGAGCCATGGGAAGCCACTCTAGGGCATCAAGAATTGGGGATAGGCTGGCTCAGGCTATTCCTAGGGGACCCTGCAATCAGGGTTCAAGGGACTGTGAGGAAAGCAACATTAACATGAAGCTGAGACATAGGTCTGGGTCTCTAGGGAAAAGTTCGGCTTCTCTATAGGCTCCAGGCATAAAGAAAAAGATCCAGGACAGGGCTGTCCAGCTATGGAGGAAGTAGAGCATTAAAGGACAGAAACCACGCTCGAAACTCTCCTCCCCACTGCACTCCCCAGAATTGGAGCCAGGGGAAGTCACTTGGGAGGACAGCACAACTACTGGGAGCACAGGGATAGCTTTGTGCTTTGAAGCTTGCTCTGGGCTAACTTACAACTGCACAGCCAAAACCTCATGTGGATAGCACTTGCCCCTGGTTTCCCTGTACTGTGGCAAAAATAACTCTTCCACATGTTGGTACCACAGTCTGGGACAGACAGCAAAGGGTGGAAAAGGGAAATTAAAGGAGAGACCAGGAGTCTCGGGAGATCCTGCTCCTAGCAGGAAATCCTCCAAGGTAGAATCAGGATTCTAGATCGGGATGCCCCTTCATTCTAGGATGCCCACTGGCTGATGTTCTGTATCCGTTCACACCCACTTTGTAGGGGTTTGAATGCTAAGCTCCCAACCCCTAGGACAGAGCTGTTTCCTGGCTCCTCAGCTGAGAGACCTCTGCTCACTTCGACACCTCACTGTGATCCTGGGTCCCTCTCTCCCTGATCTTTCCTTCTCATACTCCTGCCTTGTCCTCTCTTCCCAGACCCAGATGAGTAATCCCAGGAACTCAGCACTGCTCAGGCTGAATCCTCCATCATCCCATGCCTCACTCAAAGCTACTCCACTCCCATATCTTTCTTGAATTCATACACGGCTCTACCTCCAGTGCCTTTTCCCATGCTCACTGCTCCTGATCTATGCCAGGTCTCCGTGGAGCCAGCCCGCCACTGGTGACTCTGCCTCAGTCTCCCCACCTCCACCTCTGTCAACTCTTGTGTGGTGTCCTCGGTCCTGGGGCCCTCCAGGCCAGGCTGCTTCCAGAGGTATTTTCTACAACACAAATGGGATTCAAACTCTCAATGGTTTCCTATATTCTGCAAGTTAAAGTCCAAATTCTTAACACACCGTTCAGTTTTTACAACCAGACACCCACCTGCTTTTCCCACTTCGTCTCCTGATCTATTCCCTATCACCCCTCCATCATCTTGATCACCCTAATTTTTGTATAGGCTCCTTCTCAGCCAAAGGGAGCCATGTGCAATTATCCAAATACACTGTCTGCTTTCCTGCCCCCAAACTTTGCTCATGTACTTCCCTTTGCTTGAAACATCTCCCTCCTTCCTCTACTTACAAGAATCCTACCTACACTGAAAGCTAAATTCAAATACTGTGTTATCTTATTGAAATGAAAGCTATCTTGTCCATGCTGTCATTAGTAGCACGGTGCCTCTGTATCTACAATTGGACTTAGAGTCTGAACTTTACACTGTTTGGTAGCATGTGCCTGCTGCCCCAATAGAAGGACAACTTTTTTTTTTTTTTTGGTCTTTGTCCAAGACTTTATTAAAGGTCTTTATCGAGCCACATCCAGACTCCAGATACAGCTGCCCAGGAGACTCTGTTATGTTATGAACCACAGGCACCGCCCCCAATTCCTCTTCCTATTGTAGCTGGTTTTCTGTCCCATGCAGCCAATACAATCCTAATTGATATAAGGGAGGTGGCCCAGCTGGGGAGGACAGCCTTACACCATGAGGAAGCAGAAGTTCAGCACAAGTCTTTGTCCCCTAAAAGGACTTGACCTGGCACTTACAGCTCCATTAGCACACAGCTGGCGCATGATGGCACCTCAGAACCAAACACACACCAGCATCTCTCTTCCTGCAGTGGGCCCCGCACAGTCTCTCTCCTTAGCTACCTTTGTATCAGCATCTTGATTTGGGGGCAGACGCGAAAACAAAGGCAGTCAGAGTGGTGGAAGTCTGAAATCAAATTTCACCCCGTCTTCCCACAAGAAAACCATAACATATGTAAGGAGAAAGCATGATTCGAGGCATGCCAAGGCGTAGAGGAGAATTGTTTCTAAGTGAAAAATCCACCCCAATCCAATTAGTCTGGAGAACCAATTGCTGCCTGATTAACTGAGACGTGTAAGTGTGAAATGTCACCTCGAGGTGCTGATCTCTAATTATGAGCATGCGTCTGTTCTGGTTATCCAAATGACAGCACATGACCACTCTCCCCTAAGCCTTTCAACTCTGCAAATATGCACCCATTTGTCTTTTCCTAGTGAATGCAAATGGGAGAGAAACACAGTGATGTTGCCCTTTGGAGATAATGATGTTGGAAATTCAAGACATAATGGCTCCCTAGACAAGACCAGAATAGCTTTGAGTTT